CAGAAATTAATGACGGCCGATATGCAGGAGGAGATTCCTTGAAAACGCTGTAAGTATTAACTGCTTGACAGTGAAGATATTCCTTGTTGAGAAGAGATCTTTTTCTGAGATTCTGACAGCCTGAAAACTGATATACTCTTCTTCTGAGCACCGCATGCGTTTCCCACAGAAATAAGGTTCTTGTCCTGTGTTTTCCAAGCCGCTCCATCCGTTCTTCAGAGAGCTGCTCCACTGCAACATTTTCAGAATATGATTGGCCGTTTCTCTACGATGCTACCGAACGTTGCAAACATTAGGCAGGCAGCGTTGTTAGAAGCAGTTCAATTGATGGTTCTAATGTTCAAGGACGTGTAAGATAACGAAGACCACCGCTGCTTTTAAGAAGACAACTTTCATCTTTACCGTTACTGACCAGTCTTCCAATACTCCGAGCAGCTTTGCAAAGTTAGCTGCTGTGAACCCTATGCATTAAGTAATATCTGGGTCACAACTCCCGTCATTGGCCATGACTGAACCCCACTTGTACACAACCATCATGACATCAAGTAAACAATTTCTTTTCCTCCTTTCAATAAGCTTTTCGTTTGACTTTCACCCGATCATCAAAGGATCACATATTAAGAGGCATTCTTCCTTTTTCTAGCGTGTTCCCCTCAACAGGAGTCCGCTGCCTCTATATTTTTCGGTCTATGATTAAACCTCAAATCATTCGTCGCAGTTTCAAATCATTTCTGACGACATAGCGTTACCTTTTCTTTGATCTTCCCTTACTTTTCTTCCCTACTAGTACCAATGCCTAGATCAATTTCCAAAGTACTCGCTGGATCTTGTTTTTACATGGCTTAACCAATGGAGTTTGCTTTCGATAAACTCTTCTGAAACTGCTGCTACGCCAACTGTGCATCTTATAAAGCTGTTTCGGATATGGTCCTTCTGCTGACACCACATCCATCTCAGCATTCGCATCTCTGAGTTCAGCTATTGCACATATTTCCTCAGGAAGCCAACCATTCCATTGCGTACATAAGCATAGTCGAATTATCGCTCTGTACCGTTTCATCTTTATTTTTATGAGCATCCTTTCTTTGCACTCTCCATTTGAGCCACGTATTTTTCGACATCACTTGCCGTTATCGCTTCCTCTTTCGGGTCACAGAGAAGGACGTGTCAGACAATGCTCCCAATGTTTCCGATCCTGTGCCAGAATCTGAGGCTTAGCAGAAAACAACCGGAGTCTACATCATAGTTCTCTAATATACACGCACCAGACTGCATGTCGCCGTCTCCTGGGGTTTCTACCGGTCGACTGGGCAAGCAGTACTTGCCTCGCCTTCCTTTCTCGAAAAATCCCAACACTAGAAAAAACCATCTCTGCTGTGACTTCTCAATCTGAAGAAACAGTGGCTGTACATCAAGAATCTCACGAATTTCTGTACTCTGGATCATGTCGAGACGCGCAATGCCTGCGTATCGTTTCAGGAAACCCATTTTAGCCTCTTTTACCCGGGATCGAAGTTTATCTCTTACAGTTTACGACTCATGACCATAGATAAGCATGGGATGGGGATGAAGATCGGCTTGAACACCGAGAGCTTATTCCAGTCGTACCTCTGCTTTAATCACAGTGGTTTGGGCTAGTTCACTCAGAACGACACTGGTTACTCCAATCCCCGGTCAATCTCTTAAATTTTCCATCACCAGTAAACACGACCTTACGCATTTGAACTTCTTCATATTAGCTCCACTGCATCTCCGTTAATCTGAAGAAAGCAACGACCAGGAGAACGAGAAAGCACTATGCTTTTCGTTTTACATACGTTCACACGCATGCCGTCCACGTCGAACTGGGCTGCGCACCTTTCTAGAGAGCGACGTAGATCAGTTTCACTAAATGCCGATAAAACAAGGTTGTCTGCAAACAGTAACCTTCTCGTTCCCACATCTCGTACATTGGTTCACTCATCACATTGGCTGCTCCTGACTATTTTATCCATGTACAACACAATCAAGAGAGGAAACAAAACGCCATCCCCTTAGTGGAGACCAGTGCCAACGCTGAAAGGTCTTCAATTAGCGCCATTTACTCTGACGCAGCACCCACTCTCATCATATAATGACTGGATGGCCCGTAGCAACTGGCCATCGATCCTATATGTTCGCAGGCATGCCCATAAACTATCGCTCAGGATCTGGTCATCGGTTTTCTGTAGGTCTACAAAGCACATGAAAACTAGATGAGCGAGTTCCCACGGTTTCTTAAAAATCTGGCGCAGGGCGAACATCTGGTCAGA